GGAATGCTGATGTTTTGGGTTCCCGACCCAAAACATCAGCTTTCCTGCTCCTCTGATGCTGCCTGGCCTGCTGTGTTCCTCCAGCTCCACACTGTGTTATATCTTACACTTGAAGCATACAGTCATCCTGGTCTCCTAGACATAAACTCTTCTTCACCACAAGAAGCCTCATGGTTTACTATAATCTGCTTTACCAGACCTTAATTTCATCCAAAGCATCAGCTCATCTAAGAAACTGTAGGTCTTCCAAAAAAGAGTAACTGATATAATAGTAGATTGGAATTGCAGTTCATCAGATGCATCAAATCTTTCTGTGCATCTTAGTGAGGGGTGGGAGAGGGGTGAGTGAGTGAGATGTTGTGGTTTTTTTAAACATGGAAGCAAGTGTATGAAAAAAATCTTTATTTTTTTGATTAGTTATTTAAATTGGGACAATCACAGAGTAAGAAAACATCCCTCACATACATAACACACTGGCGGTAAGAAACTACTTTCAATTACGAACGACGAGCCTGAGGACTATGCTACCTTCTGACAGTCCTAATTTTGTTCAAACCTCCGGCCCTTCCATTTGCGCTTCTTCATAGATGTCCGAGAATGTGCATCACCCAAAAGACACAAATAGTCACATAGTTTAATTCATTGATGTTCGCCAAACACACAGTTCCCTGTACTCTAACACCTAACAGATACAAGCAGCTCTCATTTGCAGTTTCATAAATGTGTTGCAAATAATGATTAACCAAGTCTGAAGGGTCATTTAACAGTGTGTCTAGTCTAGGTGTGTAGGAAACTATTTTGTAGAAGAGCATTCATACTGCAGTGTGACACACACCCACGCATGCAAACATTGTCCCTCAGGCTGCGATGTGGCCGCGTGTAATTGACACTCGGAAGATCAGTTTCACCGTCAATTTCCTCAGACGCTCCACCCTTCTTTGGGTCGGTAACAACAGCGTATTCCCACCATCCAGAGCTGGTGACATGTCCACCTCGTCCTCCGACCCTAGCCTGGCGGTGGCCGCCATGAGAAAGAGTTACAAATGCGACCAGGAAGTGAGTAACAAAATGTAACAATATGGTGTAACCATTTCTGACCCGCGAATGTATCCAGTTTCGGTGAAATCTATCAAGGGGAAGGCGGTGTGCTTTCTGTTCTTTCCCCTTCGAGACCATCACTGCAGTAAAACAAATGTTTTCAGCTGTTTACATCATGTTTCACTAAATTTAAACAACATAAAGCGCCTCCCCATGGAAATCTCGTTCACTTGCCGGTTTTATAACAGGGTAGTTCGGGCTCCATTTTCGCTTGTCAATTAGAAACAAATACAGAATTAAAGTGTTATCTTTATTTTGCATTAAAGGGATAATGCCTGCGATTAAATAATTACCTGTGGTTTGATCTGTGGGGGAGGCGGGGGGGGAACCAGCAATATTTAGGCCTCCGCTGTCACCAACAGATAGTCCTTGGGATGACATTCAGGGTTGTCTATTATGTTCGTCCGTTTGTATAGTAAGCGCACAAAACCCTACCTTCATTTACAAATCCTCCCACATATCACCACCACAAAACCTGCGTTTATATAGCGCCTTCAGCGTATTACAACATCCAACACGCTTTACAGGAGCGTTATGAAACAAAAATTGACACTGACCCAATGGAGGCATCAGGACAGGTAACCAAAGTGAAGAAAGCAACTCATTCACAGGTTTCAGCCCAGATCAAGGGCCATAGTCTTTAAATAGGAGCTAGGTTTTTGTTTAATCAACATGTCCAGGGGATGTAATTCCACGCCTGTGGGGCAGGGGGGACTTGAACCCGGGGGATGATAGGAAGCACATCTTCACCCAGAGGAATGTTCGGGAACTCCAGGATTTTGACCCACACACAACGACACAGGATAAATGGAGCTGGTGATGCTCTAATGCACCTGCTGCTCTGGTCCTTCCAGATAAAGGCTTCTCAAAGTGCGGGTCAGGACCCCAAGTGGGGGTGTCGGCTGAACTTTTGAGGTCCTGAGCTCTGAGGCAGCAATGACTGCTGTGTAGCTCCAACCTAGCTGTAACAGCAGTAACCCCATTCTAATAGGCCCCTGCTCTCAAAGCCCTACTACTCCAGTCTGACAGGTCTCACTGAGGTTGAGTGACAGTTTTCAACCCTTGAATTGGCATCACAGTGAGACAAAACATTTGGGAAGCACTGTTCTAGGTGGGGAAGGTCATGGGGTTTGGGAGGTGCTGTCAAAAAGTCTGTATAATTCCCATGGCACCAGTGATTAATGCCTTCTGTAAGCAGAGTTTGAAAGTATCCAAATGCTTACACAGAGACGCACAGCTTTATCACTGCCATCCTGGGTAGACTTGGGGTGGGGCTAAATATAACCTCAACAAAGTGACCTGGAGCCCAGGGCTAAATGAACTTAAAAAACACATCTGTATCTAGCTGCTGTTCTGCCGTTTCCCTGGTGTGTATGTTTATATTTCTCTCTCTCTCTCTCGTGTCCAGGCTTTTGAAGAGAACCAGCTGGTTTCTCTGGATCCCATGAAGCAGTTTGCTGACTGGTTTGAAGCAGCCACGAAATGCCCATCGATCCAAGAAGCTAATGCCATGTGTCTCGCTACCTGCACCAAGTAACCACCTTTGCCAATCTGTTGGCTGAAATTAAGAGGGCACCTCAAAAAGTTAACTAAAACTCCTGGAGGAAAATTAGCTATTCAGGTTACCCAGGTTTCCCCATCTTACCTAAAACAGATTTATAAAAACTGCAATACAGTATTGATATGAAAGTTCTCTGTAATTTTACTGAAATAGGTTTACACCTTTGGTAAAATATAAGTCAAAGAGCAAGTTTACCCCTGCTCAATAATGAGGTGTAATACTAACAGAGGAAATTAGGGTTGGAGTGTGGGAGTGGAGTGGGAGCAAGACAAGAAGATGTACTTAGAGTGGAAGGAAGCTCCTATACAATAAAAGGTCTAGTATCAGTCAGTTGGGCTGAACAGTTTGTTGTTGTGTTTGTTGAATTTATCTTAAACTTTGGTGGAAACCTGGTTAGATCACACTTAATGAACATAGTTTTAGTCTCCATTTTATGGAAAAGATCTAGATTCGCTGGAGAAGTTGCAAAGAGAATTTACAGTGACTTACAGTACAATGAGTGGGTCTACACCCCAAGGACTGCAACTGTCTAAGAAGGCAGCTCACTACCACCTTCTCAAGGGCAACTAGGGAACAGGCAATAGATGCTGGACCTAGCCAGCACATCCCATGGATACATTTTAAAAATACCAAAACTGAGAGCCTAATACTTCAGGAAAGACCAAGAAGAGTGGTAACTAGATGAAGATGTTTAAAATTATGAAATAATTTGATAAGCAGTGGTGTACTGGTATTATCACTGGACTGGTAAACCAGAGACCCAGGTTAATGATCGAGGGCCATGGGTTCGAATCGTTCCATAGCAGATGGTGAAGTTGAATTCAGTCAATAAATCTAGAATTAAAAGCTAGTGTAATGTAGTTACCATGAAACCCTTGTTGATTACCATAAAACCCATCTGATTCACTAATTCCTTTCATGCAAGAAAACTCTGCCCTGCTCAGCCGGTCTGGCAGACATGTGACTCCAGACTATAAAATGCCACGTGATTGTAACAAATTGTTAAAGTCTCATAAGAGGAATTAAAATAGATAGACCACCTGACATCGACCGAGTCACAGGATACAACAAGGGCACAAACAGCTCTGTCAGGCTTACAGGGTCCCCTTACAAAACGTCTGGAAGCTTATTGCAAAATTAGGAGAGCTGCCCAGAGGTGAATGAAGCAACAGCCTGACATCATACCTGACAGAAAATGTCCCAGACATCACAATCACCAGGTGGTAGTACAGTGCTGTACAGTTGAGAGGGAGGTGCCCAAGGAGAACTCAACATTAACTCTGGATCTCATGGCATTAGACCAAACATGGGCAAGGAAACCTCCTGCTGATTACCTGCTGAAGCCTTTTGCTTCCCTCTGCTGCTAAATCAATACTGTCCCACAATATCCAGAACTAACTGTTACTCTTGCCAAGCAATACTGGTACAACACTGGCATCTAGCCAACAATGTAGAAAATTACCCAAGTATGTCTTGTTTACAAAGAGCAGGACAAATCTGACCTGTCCAATTACCACCCCATCAATCTACTCTCAATCATCAGCAAAATGATGGAAGAGATAATTTACCAATTGGAAATTACACAAAAAATAACCAACTCATTGATGCACAGTTTCAGCTCTGCCAGGCCCATTCAGCTCTTGATCTCATTGCATTGATGATCCAAACATGGATACAAGAGCTGAATTACAAAGGGTAGGTGAGCATGACTGTTCTTGATATCAAGGCTACATTTGACCAAGTGTGACATCAAAACTGGAGTTAATGGGAATCAGGAGAAACACTCTGCTGGTTGGAGTCATACCTGGCACAAAGGAAGATGGTTGTGGTTGTTGGAGGTCAGTCATCTCAGCTTCAGGACATTGCTGCAGGAGTTCTTCAGGGTAGTGTCCTAGGCCCAACAATCTTCAGCTGCTTCATCAATGATCTTCCCTCCATCATGAGGTCAGAAGTGGGGATGCTCACCAACGATTGCACAACATTCACCATAAATCCTCAGCTACTGAAGCAGCTCATGTCCAAATGCAGCAAGACCTGGACAATATCTGGGTTTGGGCTAACAAGTGGCAAGTAACATTCATGCCACACAAATGCCAGAATGACCACCTCCAACAAGAGAGAATCCAACCATCAACCCTTGATGTTTAATGACATTACTATCACTGAATTCCCCTCTATCAACATAGAGAGGGGTTACCACCAGAAGCTGATCTGAACCAGCCATATAAATACTGTGGCTACAAGTGCAGGTCAGAGGCTGGGAATTCTGTGGTGAATAACTCACTTCCTGAATCCCCAAAGCTTGTCCACCATCTACAAGGCTTGTGCTTTGTCAGGAGTGTAATAAAATAGTCCCCACTTGCATGGATGGGTGCAGCTCCAACAACACTTGAAGCTTGATACCTTCCAGGACATAGCAGCCCATTTGATTGGCACCACAATTACATTAAATATTCACTCCCTCCGTTACCAATGCTTGGTACCAGTAGTGTCTACCATCTACAAGATGCACTGCAGCAACTCACCAAGGTTCCTTAGACAACACTTTCCAAACTTACAATCTTTACAATCAAGAAGGACAAATCCCTGGAACTCCCTCCTTCACAGCACTGTGGGTGTTCTTACATCAGCTGGACTGCAATGGCTAGAAAAGGCAGCTTACCACCGCCTTCTCAAGGGCTAGTTGGGATGGGGAATAAATGTTGGCTCATCCTGCGATGAGGACATGTCATGAGTGAAGACGAATGTAAAGATTTTTCCACCTGCTGACGAGACCACAATAGGAGGCATAAAAATAAGACAGTGACAAATAAATCCAATCAGGAATCCAGGAGAAAACTGGAGGTGAGAATGTGGGGCATAATCCCACAGGGAGCACCTGAAGAATCAATATGTTTAAACGGGAAGCTGGATAATGAAGTTGAGAGGAACAGAAGGATATTCTGACGAAGTGAGCTGACGTAAACAGTCTGGGAGGAGGTTGACATGCAACATGATCACGAGCATAGATCCCACTGAACTGAATGCCTTTCTGTGCTGTTTATTTGATGTAATCATATTCCTACCTATGCACTATGATTTGTTTAATTCTTGTGCTGATTGTATTCCCTTCAGTCCTCAAGACATTCACTCCATGGGTTGATGCCTGCTGCCCTCTGGTACCACAATCAAGTGACAATTCTTCAGAATCTGTTGGCCTATCCATACACAGTGTATATCACAGACATGCTTAGTCTCACCTCATCTCCATTGATGTGCAGTGTCTATCAGTGATTGTGGCTATGTGTGGGAATGCCTGCAAATTATCCACTTCCCTCGCCCAGGCTTGGCCCCGCAAACTTGATGAAGATCTGATGAATCAACAAAGGTTGGGAAACAAACTTGGTAGCTTCCTAACCTGATTGGCTTAAGTGGAATTCAGCCCCACAGTCTACTACACTCAAATGTCCTACTGTCACTTGATGTGGTCAAGGGAAATGGTCCCTTTAATCTGATACCAGAGGACAGCTGCAAGCACGGATGCAGATTGAAGGAAGTGGGAGGAAAGTTATTGGGAGAGTATTGGGAATGTTGGGGGTAGAGGAATGCCCCTCTTGCCATCTAATTACTAGAATAATTTTCTAACTGCACCGATCAGAAAGGAGGAATTTGTGTGTCTGTACATAGAGGGATAGCATTCACAAATAACTAGGTGGGATTTGAAAGTTATCTCAAATTCCGTTTCTGAACCTTCTCTAGGGATGGAAAGCCTTCTGCTCGAATGTTGCTTCTGAAAGGGTTTGGACCTGAGGGATTTAAATTCTACACAAACCACGAGAGCAGGAAAGGAAGGGAGCTCGTAAGTAGATCCCTGACGGATCACTTTTGTACCAATTGCAAACACCAACCCTCATCATCAACCCATTATCATCTCCCCCCCGCCCACTCACAATAATACTGTGTTAAACATTGTGATCATCAGTATTTGTTGATTGTGAGTCAAGGGCAGGACTGCACAACATGTTGATATATCTATTTTCTAGGAATCCAATCCAGTTGCAGCAATAGTATTTTACTGGGAGGCCCTGAATAGGCAAGTACGTCCTCAATTTACATATTTGGTTCTTTTTTTTAAAAGTAATGCTTCACTTTTTGCTTGTTGACCTGAAGTGTTAATTATCTTTTTCTTTCCACAGTCCAGCTGAACATTTCCAGCATTTTCTGTTTTTATGTAATTTCCACCAGCTGTACCTTGTACCTTGGATTTATGTAATATCTTTCAGGATGTCCCCAAATAAGGTTGTTGACTTGTTCGCCGAGCTGGCTTGTTTTTGTTCAGACGTTTCGTCACCATGCTAGGTAACATCATCAGTGAGGCCTCCGATGAAATGATGTTCAAGGCAACAATCAGCTTCCGTTTCTGGATGTCAGGGTTTAACGTATGACCATCGGGGAGTTCCAAACCTCAGTATACAGGAAAACAACGCATTCTGACCAAATCCTCAACTTCCACATCAAGGAGCCCAATGTCCACAAACAAAGCTGTGTTAGGACACTATTTAAACATACCACTGCTCACTGCAACATGCCAGAACTACGCAGGAAAGAGGAAGAGCACCTACACAAAATCTTCGCTATGAATGGATATCCCCGCAACTTCACCCGCAGGTGCCTACTAAATAGACAACAACAAGAGGACACAGTACGCCCTAACACACTGGCCACACTGCCCTACATCAACAACATATCAGAACTGACAACGAGACTCCTAAGACCACTAGGAATCATGGTGGCCCACAAACCCACAGTCACACTATAACAAACACTCACAAGGATTAAAGACACCATTCCCACAACATGCAGAACCAATGTGGTTTACAAAATACCATGCAATGACTGCTACAAACATTACATCGGACAGACAGGAAGGAAACTTGCCATTAGAATACACAAACACTGGTCAGCAGCAAAACAGCACGATAAACTTTCCCCAATATCAGTATGCTCGGACAATGAAGGCCATCAGTTTAACAGGGACAATGTAACCATAGTAGCCCAAGCCAAACATAGACAAGCACGGGAATTCCTAGAGGCGTGGTTCTCCACCTGTAATGCAATCAACAAACATGTAGAATTGGACCCCATATTCAAACCCATACAGATCAAAACTGGAAATGACACAACTCACCATAATGGACTGGACAGTATAAACTCCAAGCAGAGTAGAACAACATTGCTTCATCGGAGGCCTCACTCATGATATCACCTAGCATGGTGACGAAACATCTGAACGTTTGAGGGGTGACTTGAAAGAGGTCTACAAGATTATGAAGGGCGTGGACAGACTGGACAGTCAGAAGCTTTCTCCCAGGGTGGAAGATTCAGTTACCAGGGGCCATAGGTTTAAGGTGTGAGGGGCAAGGATTAAAGGTGATGTACGAGGCATGTTTTTTACACAGAGGGTGGTGGGTGCCTGGAACTCGCTGCCGGGGGAAGTAGCGGAAGCAGTTACTAAAGTGACTTTTAAAGGGCGTCTTGACAAATACATGAATAGGATGGGAATAGAGGGATATGGTCCTCGGAAAGGTAGGAGGTTTTAGTTGTGACAGGCAGCATGTCGGTGCAGGCTTGGAGGGCCGAAGGGCCTGTTCCTGTGCTGTAATTTTCTTTGTTCTTTGTTCTTTTGCAAACAAGCCAGCTCGGCAAGCAAGTCAACAACCTCACTCACAACCCAAGCTACAAATCTTGGCAAAACCTTTAAATGTCCCCAAATGACCTTTAGCTAATGCAGCACTTTAATGGACCGTTACTGTCATTAAGTGGAAAATCTGGTGGGATCACCTGTCTCAGTGAGCAATAGATATTGACCAGGTTATGGCAGACATTCCCTATCCTTCTTTGAAAAGTGTCAAATCATCTTTTACAAGAACCTGATAGAACATGCAGTTTAACATTTTACGTGAAAGACAACTAGTCTGACAATGCAGCACCCCCCTCGACACTGCACCGCAGTTCAGTGTCATCTTGGATTATGTGGTGGCTGGAGATGGACTTCAACCAATGACTTTCTGATTCAAAGCAAGAATGGTTTCCAATGCTGACTAATAGTATAATTACCACACAGTTAAAGGAGGAGGAAAACATCAGCTATGTGGCCCTGATCACTATTTACTAATTAAATAAAGTAGAAAATGCTGGAACAACGCAGCAGCATCTGTAGGTTGGTTCTGGTGAAAGGTTACAGACTTGAAACGTTAACAGTTTTTCTCTCTCCATTGATACTGCCTGACCTGCAATGTCTTTGCTATTAGTTATTCAGCATAACATTCTCTTCCACATCTTGCCCATTGATCAATTTGTTGCCTCTATTCTGGTTCTGTTCCACCTGCTGTGAGGTGGGTTATAATACAGGTCCTGACCCTCAGAAACATTCACTTTCCTCAGGTACGCATCGAAGGTCACGTGACCAAGTTGCCAGTCACAGATTCGGAGGAGTACTTCCATTCTCGACCCAAGAGTAGCCAAATCGGTGCTGTGGTCAGCCGGCAGAGTACAGTGATCCCTGACAGAGAGGTGTGTGCACAAAACTGTGTGGGTCTCAGTTATGGCTTGTATAACAGAAGGAAACACTAAACCAGGTCACAGACTAGTAATTGATAGTTCATTCATGAACTGTTCCATTGTGAACTTTGCTCACATGCTTGATTTCCTGGTTTGAGGTTCTGATGTCCAAAGGGAATAGTGCAGAAACCCAATACAGGAGCAAACATCTCGACTCAAAACCTCAGCTTGCTCTCTCTTCACGGATGTTGCCTGACCTGCTGTGATTTTTTGTTTTCATTGCAAAACCTAGAATACTCAGTCACTCTCACAGCTCAACTGCCTGACCTGGGTTTTCTAGACTAACAAACACCATCACTTCCTCACTTCACCTTTCCCAAGATTATGATGTGTGAATTACTTCTTCTCCAACCCATGTTGTCCTCTTGTCCAGTCACCAGGTCTTCATCAGCACTCCCCCCTCCTCTGTGTCAATCACTGATCACAGCTAATGTGTAGAAACATTTCCCAGTATTCCTCATATCTTACAGTTTTCAGTATCTGAATGTTGTGTTTTATACTGCTCCAGTCTAGGATCCTGTGCAAATTAGAATGTGAGATTCATGAATAAACAATCTGAACAGTGATTTATAGACACAACAAGTTCTTCACTGAATCTAAAGTCAATTCCCATCACATACCTCAACAAAGCAACAAACCAGAGAATGTTCCGCCTTCAAATCTCTTTCACCGTTCAGACAGTTTATGACTGACCTGGAACTTCATTCTGTTTACTCACTGTAGTTCTGTAAATGTTATTGCATGGCCTGGCCTGACAGTGACTCTCAATTTCAGTCGTGACATTTTGCATTAATCCCTCACCCATCCTCCTAACCTCAGCATTGTTCTTGTGAGAGAAAGTAACAGATTATCACTCACATTTGTGTGAAGAAATGCTTCTCGACATCGTCCCTGAATGATTTGGCCTGGACTTGTTATGTCCCTCTTGTCCTTGATCCTCTGTGTCTATCTTATCAAATCTTTTCATCATCTTTAACTCCTCAATTGGATCAACTCTAATATTCTATATTCAATTCAGCCTGTCTTTACAACTTAACTGCTCTAGGCAAAGTATCCTTCTAGTAAATCTATCTGCACCCCTCTTCCAAGGACAAACTATCATAGAGTCATAGATACGTACAGCACAGAAACAGATGCTTTGATTCAACTCATCCATGCCAACCAGATATTCTAAATTAATCTAGCCCCATTTACCAGCATTTGGCTCATATCCCTCTAAACCCTTCCTATTCATGTATCTATCCAGATGCTTTTAATATGTTATAATTGTACCAGTCTCTACCACTTCCTCTGGCAGCTTGTTCCATATACACACCATCCTCTGCATGAAAAAGTTGCCCCTTAGGCCCCTTTTAAATTTTTCCCCTCTCAATTTAAACCCATGCCCTCTAATTTTGGACTGCCCTACCCCAGGGAAAAGATCTTGACTATTCACCTATCCATGCCCCTCATGATTTCATAAACCTCTATAAGGTCATCCCTCAGCCCCTGATGCTCCAGGGAAAATAGCCCCAGCCTTTTCAGCCTCTCCCTGTAGCTCAAACCCTCCAACCCTAGCAACATTCTTGTAAATCTTTTCTGAACCCTTTCAAATTTAACAACATCCTTCCTATAGCAGGGAGACCAGAATTGAACGCAGTATTCCAAAAGTGGCCTTAACAATGTCTTGTACAGCCGCAACGTGACCTCCCAACTCCTACACTCAATGTACTGATCAATAAAAGCAAGCGTACCAAACACCTTCTTCACTCTCCTGTCTACCACTGACTCCACTTTCAACGAACTATGAACCTGCACTCCAAGGTCTCTTTGTTCGGCAACACTCCCCAGGACCTTACCAGTAAGTGTATAAGTCCTGCCCTGATTCGCCCTATCAAACATTTGCACCTCACATTTATCTAGATTAAACTCCATCTGCCACTCCTCGGCCCATAAGCCCATCTGATCAAGGTCCCATTGTACTCTGAGGTAACCTTCTTCACTGTCCACTATACCTCCAATTTTGGTGTCATCTGCCGTACCTCCTATGTTCACATCCACATCATTTACATAAATGACAAAAAGCAGTGAACCCAGCACGGATCCTTGTGACACACCGCTGGTCACAATTCGAAAAGTAACCCTCCACCTCCACCACCCTCTCCCTGCTACCTTTGAGCCTGTTCTGTTTCCAAATGGCTACTTCTCCCTGTATTCTGTGTGATCTAACCTTGCTAACCAGTCTACCATGCGGAATACTGTTGAATGCCTTACTGAAGGCCATATAGATCACATCCACTGCTCTGCCCTCATCAATCCTCTTAGTTACTTGTTCAATCAACTCTATCAAGTTCGTGAGACATGATTTCCCATGCACAAAGCCATGTTCACTATTCCTAATCATTCTTTGCCTTCCAAATGCATGTAAATTTTGTCCCTCAGAATCCCCTCCAACAACTTACCCACCACTGATGTCAGGCTCGCTGGTCTGTAGTTCCCCACCTTTTCCTTATCACTTTTCTTAAATAGTGGCACTACGTTAGCCAACCTCCATTCTTCTGGCACCTCACCTGTGGCTATTGATGATACAAATATCTCAGCAAGGGCCCAGCAATCACTTCCCTAGCTTCCCACAGAGTTCTAGGGTGCTCAGGTACTGGGGATTTATCCACCTTTATGCATTTTAAGACGTCCAGCACCTCCTCCTCTGTAATATGGACACTTTTCAAGATATCATTATTTCCTTTCCCAAGTTCTTTAGCTTGCATATCCTCCTCCACAGTAAACCATGATGCAAAATACTTGTTTAGTATCTCCCCTATCTCCTGCCATTCTACACATAGACGGCCTTGCTGATCTGTCAGGGGCCTTATTCTCTCCCAAGTTACCCTTTTGTCCTTCATGTATTTGCATAAACCCTTTGGATTCTCCTTGACCCTATTTGTCAAAGCTATCCCTTGTTGCCTTTTTACCCTCTTGATTTCCCTCTTAAGTATACTTCAACTGTCCTTACACTCCTCTCGGGATTCACTCGATCCCATAGAAGTAAACAAGAAATAGGAGCATGTGGGCCATTTGGCCTGTTAACACTGCTCTGCCAATCAACAAGATCATGGCTGATCTCCCACCTTGGCTACACTTTACCACAATATCCCCCTATCCTTTGATTATCAAAACATCCAAACATCTGTTGGTCCCAAATGGTCCCATCAGCAAGTGAGTATTCATAACTGTCTCCAGGAGGGAGTTCTAAACACTCGCAATTCTTTGAATTCAGAAATTTCTCTTCATCTCAGTGTCAAATGGGTGACTCCTTACTCTGAGACACCTGAAGTAAGGGAACCATCCTCTCAGAATAAATCCTTTTGAAATCTTACTATGTTGCAATGAGATCACCTTCATTTTTCTGACCTGTAGAGACTAAGGGGACAAACCTGCAATTTCAGAAATCATTCCCCATGAACACTTACCTGATTGGAACACAGCACTTGAAAGTTTTATGATTCCTCCAATGTGACATCTGTCTAATTCTCTCCTCTTGTCAGTTTCTAAGGAAGAAGAATGCACAGTTGGAGGAACTCTACAAAGACAGGGAGGTTCCAATGCCCGAGTACTGGTGAGTGATGTGTAAAACCAGAGGGTTAAGAGCTTTAGAAAGTTGAGGCATAGACTTTTCTGGTCAGAGCTTTATTCCAAATTACACATCAAGTCCAACACTCTGATTACTCATTCCCCACATATATGCCCAGTTCTCACACCTTTATCCCTTTATTTACATGCAACTATCACCTGTTTCCCAGCTCCATTTGGTCTCAGACAACCCTGCTAGATTCTACTACATTATAACACGTGTTAGCTACATGTGACTGAACAGAACTCTTAGTTCTGGGGTTATGATTCATATATTGATCAGAAAACTGAATTAGTAAATCCCAGGGATTATTTTATTCTTTTGTGGGATGCGTGCCTCACCATCAAGGCCAGCATTTTGTTGATCTCACCTAACTGCCCTTGAGCTGAGTATCTTGCTGGACCATTTCAGAGGGCAGTTAAGGGTCAACCACACTGCTGTGAGCCTGGTGTCACATGTAGGCCAGACCAGGTGAGGATGGCAGATTTCCTTCCCTGAAAGATGTTAGTGAAGATGTGTTTTATATAAAAAAAATATAGTTTCATGGCCATTATGACTGAGACTAGTTTTCAATTTCAGAATTATGAATTGAATTTAAATTCCCTCAGCGTTCCAACCTGTGTGCTTAGAGGGCCTCTGGAATAACTAGCTCAGTAACATCATCACCATTGTCTCCCCTTGTAAAGTGAGTTTAAAACTGAATCAGTAATCCTAAAGTCATAAAAAAAATTGCCTAAGAGCTTGGTGCCCAGACCCAACTGTTTCACTTCAGGGAAGAAGTTCTGTCATCCTCAACATTCATGTTAGAGAGGTGGGGACGGTCAAGACCCTAATTCTGACTTCTACCAGTCACACAGTATCTTCTTGCAGTTTGCGTTTATATGAGTCATTAATTAACTCAAAAAGGAATTCAAGAGTAACTTATTTCTGAAGAGTGTTTGGAATGTGTTACTAGTGGTTACACAGAGTGAGTAGTGTAGAAGTATGTAAGGGCAAGCTAGGTGTGTACGGGAAAGAGAAAGGGTTAGAAGGATATGGTGACCAAGTAAGGTGAAGAAAAGCGTGGGAGGAGGTTGTGTGGAACTGGAGTACCAGCATATACAGATGGGCTGAATAGACAGTTTCTGTGCTATACAGTCCATGTCATTCTATCTGTGCTATTGTTTTGAAGGGGAGGATATCTTCTGGAGCCTGACACCATTGAGTTCTGGCAAGGCCAGACCAATCGTCTACATGACCGAATCCAATTCCAGCGTTTAAAAGGAGGGAACATTGCAGATGCTGCCATGATTCACAAGGCTGAAGGAGATTGGGTGTATAAAAGACTGTCGCCCTGACAACTGCATGACCATCAGTCTTCAAACCATTCCTCATCCAACCAGAGAATAATAATCATTTTCTTCTAAATTGAGTCCTGACATATTTCTCATCAGATTGTTGTTTGAAGTTGAAGGTGACACAGTAGGAATCTGCGAACCTTCCCAAGATTTGAATTGGATTTTTAATCTTCATAATTAGAACGATAACCAGTTATTCCCCACCCTGACATGCAGCACCTAGGACTTTTGGTAAATACAGTGCAGGTTATATTCTCAGACAGAACTAACTTCTCTCTGAGAAAGATTAAATTTACATTATCCATTGATGTAGAATCTCACAGCTCAAACATTCTCCTATTTACATCATCGACTGTGCAGGAGGCCAGACTGTTATAGATTCACAGTGCAAAACTAGCTTCTTATCCAGCTATCTGAAACAATCAATGAAGAAACAATGGTCTTCCTCCAACAATGTGCATTTCTGTAGTACCTTTATCCTAGTTAGAGGAACCCAAGGAACTTCATGGAGGATTATCGGACAAAACCTTGCCACTAAACCACATTCCAAAATATTATGTTTCAAAAAGCATTTCAAAGGAGGAGATAGATAGAGAGATGGAGAGGTTTAGGGAGAGAATCCTTAAGTTTGGGTTTTGGCAGCTGACAGTGCAGCCACCAATTGTGGAACAATTAAAATCAGATGCGTGCAAGGGTGTCCTCAGGGTGAAGATTAGGTGCATGAATTCATATAGAAAACATTCTGACTACAACCTTAATCTCAACAACTCTTTGTTTGTGGGGGGGTGAGGGTCTGTTCAGTGAGTGGGGCAGGGTCAGTAGGGAAGGAAGGAAACAGATATCCTAACAAAATAGAGATGGGTTGATGGTTTGTTTATGTGTGGAGACCTAGTGATTGTTCCTGTGGATCGCCAACATTCAACTTCAGTGCTTTTGGATTGCTCACACTCTAGGATTGTCCTGCAGTCTATAGGAAATAAAAGACCATCTCCAGGACTTTGTTGCTTGCAAAGCATGGGATACTAATCATGGAGGGGATAATTAAAAACAAAAATGAATCCCTGTATTGCTAGTTATGAAGATATAGGAGTCAGCAAAATGGCAAGTCAATGCAAAGCATCACCTGATTGGATAATGAAGCATTTATTCACTTTCTGATTGGCCATGGGGAGGAAAGTGCAGTGAGGATGAACGTGTGGGTGGCTCAGTGGCGGGAAGTTGGGAAAGGGGATGGTTGGAGGTAGGACGCCTCAAGGAATATGACCAGGTGAAAAGGGTAACACTGGATCAGAGAGATGGAGTATTGGCCAGGACTCCATTCACAGCCTTTGCCCTGCTCAGAACTGACATGCAGATATTGAACAAAGACATGGTTGGATTTGAGTTGTACTTACTCTTGGAGTTTGGACCTGAAAGAAGACCATTAGGGTGAAGATGCAACTAATATTTGGACCCCTGTGGAACTATTGCCTTTGTTGTTGGCGCTGGATGGTGATCTGAATGTCATTTGGTTAATTACATCTACTGCCCTGTGCCACCACATTAACTGTGTCCTGTGAGCTAGGCATGTAGAAATATATCCACCCCTGCCCATGTTAGGCTCCATTCCAGTTATTCTACATATTGTGATCCCTGGTCTATTCTTTAAAGGTTGATTTTTTTTCTATATAAGGGGCGGGCACATTTTCGATAAATAGTTGAATTTGGGAAATTGTAAATGGTTTGTAAGAACCACGATGTGTGAGTGACACAGCATTCTGTGTTTTGAATCAGTCAGATAAAGGCAATGCACTCCAGTGTTGTCTACTTCCATCAGTGACTTCCCAATCTAGGTCAACCCACCATCATCACAAACACCACTCTGTACTTAATCTCTATTCTTTGTTTGGGCTTTTACAAGACCCAATTAGTTTCTCTATTGTGAGTCATTCCATTCGAATAGGCTATGAGTAGTATTGTAGTCATGTTGTTGGAATAGTGATTCTGGACTAATAAATCCTCCAGCAATAGTTCTCAAGTTTTTGTGTTCGAAAGATCCCAATTCAAATGGGTTAGTATCATGTTTTCCAGCTACATTATAATGTTACATCATTAATACCTATTGTATGAAACTGCTGGAAATGCTTTTAAAGAATATTTCAATAGCACTTTTAGGAAAACAGGTATTTGTTTACATACATCAATAGGATGAATAAGCAAAATCTGTCTATCCTTGTTCAACAATAGTACAAACAGGTAACCCATTTTATATAAAAGACAATACTCACAACAAGGTCTCCTCTACAATGGGGAGATGAAATGCAGACTGGGTGACTGCTCTGCGGAACACCTATGTTCTGTCTGTAAAAATGAACCTGAGCCAACACACCACTGTATTCCCTGGCCAATGTCTCTGCCTCAGCCTTGTTGCAGTGCTCCAGTGAAGCTGAGCACAAGCTGGAAGAACAGCATCTCATTTTCCGCTTGGGGACCCTGCAGCCTTTGGAACTCAATATCCAGTTCAATAATTTTAGGGCCTGAACATCATTTTCCATGTCCTTTACCCCAAACCCTGCTTGCCAGGCCCTGTCATACCATGGGCTGGTTTCAGCACAGTCACTCATAGCTCCCATTATTAGCATTTCTTCTTCCTTGGCTTGCTATCAACTATCCCTTTGTCTGCCTAACTTACTTGCTTTCTCTGGGCTCCGTCTCCACCTTTCTGCTTACTCCATCTATATCACCAGCAAAGGGAGAGTGGTAATATCACTTGACTAATAATCCAGCGCCCCAGGTTAATGTTCTCCAGCATCTGCAGTCCCTACTATCTCTGATACAATTTTAACCCCACTGCAAAGCCTCTTCTAAGGATGCCTACCCTGAAGAAGTTATCCTCCTCCCTCTGGACAAACCTCAGGGATCTCTCTCCCACTGCAACTCTCATCCCTGCCTCTTTGACCTGTCTGTCTCCTCTCCACCTATCTTCTCCTTTAACCATCTTCTATCCGCCTCCCCCTCTCTCCCTATTTATTTCAGAACCCCCTTCCCCTCCCCATTTCTGAAGATGGGTCCAGGCCCGAAACATCAGCCTTCCTGCTCCTATGATACTGCTTGGCCTGCTGTGTTCATCCAGCTCTACACTTTGTTATCTCTAATGTTCTGGGGATGTGGGTTTGAATCACAAGGGGGTAGATAATCAAACTTAAGTTCAATTTAAAAGAATTGAAATAAAAAGCTAGCTTAATGGTGGCCATGTAACCGTGTTGATATCATATAGACCCATCTAATTCATTAATGTCCTTTAGGGAAGGAAATCTGCTGTCCTTGCCTAATCTGACCTACACGGGACACCAGACCCACAGCTATGTGGTTGACTCTTAATTGCCGTTTGAAGGGACTGGGTATCTTGGAATATGCATCGAATGCCAGCCTTGACAGGGACACCAACTTCTTGAGAAAAGAAAACAAAAAAATCAGCAAAGGCAGAGACTGATTATTGTCAAATAAAAACAGAACATTCTGGAATCAATCAGGGCACATTCCATTGACAGGTTATTGATTTGAAACATTCACTTGTTCTCTACTCTGACAGATGCTGTCAGACCTGCTGCGTAGATCCTGTACTTTCTGTCTTTATTGACGATTTCCAGTATTTGCTTTGATCAATGATGTTGTGATAAGACCGTCCCCTTTTAAATCCATCCTTTAAGTGGTGGTGATATTGTAAAGTTATAATTTATGTTTGCATTTAGATTCTAGATCATTCTGTCATTCAGAAACTCAGCTCAAAGCTTTTGCTAATTGTGTTACTACTGCATCTGCTGTTAATGAAGACGATAATCTCTTAAGAAGTTCCTTCTGCATTCTTCCTACGCCTGATCCACAATCACAGATTCTCCCTCATCTCTCTTTGGTTTCATTTACTCACCAGCTGCTGCAGGGGAGGGACAATGAACAATTTAACACCAAACACACCACAGATAAGGAGGTCAGAACAGTTCGTTGTAAGGGACTGTATGATGGTCCAGTAAAACTGAAACATTGAAATAGGATCAGGAGTGGGCCATTTGGCCTCTTGAGCCTGCTCTGTCATTCAATGGCCATGGCTGACTTGATTAAAACCTCAACTCCAGACTCTTGCCTCACTCCCAATATCCTTTAAATTCCTTCTCGGTTAAGTTTGTCCTCATGCCTATGTAATTATCTTTGTTCAACTCTATAACACTAGTGTGGACTCCAGTTTCTCACTGTCCAATTAATGTTCTGAAACTTGAAAAGATGCAGAAAAGATTTACAAGGATGTTGCCAGGGCTGGAGCGTTTGAGCTGTAGGGAGAAGCTGAATAGGCTGGGGCTATTTGTCCTGGAGCATCAAAGGCTGAGGGGTGACCTTACAGAAGTTTATAAAATCATGAGGGGCATGGATAGGGTAAATAGCCCAGGTCTTTTCCCCAGAGTAGGGAAGTCCAAACTAGAGAGCATAGGTTTAAGGAGAAAGGTTTTAGGAGAAAGGTTTAAAAGGGAACAAAGGGGCAACTTTTTTCATGCAGAGGATGGTGCGTGTATGGAGCAAGCTGCCAGAGGAAGTGGTGGAGGTGGGTACAATAACAACATTTAAAAGGCGTCTGGATGGGTGCATGAATAGGAAGGGTTTAGAATGTATATGGGCCAAATGCTGGCAAATGGGACCAGATTAATTTAGGATATCTCCTACAGGATTCTTTACTAGGAGAGTATGACATAATTACACAATACTAAATCCAGAATAGCCTGTTCTTTGATTAGTTCCACAGCATACTACTCCAAGAAATCATCTCTAATACATTCAATGAACTGTCTCTCAAGGCTACCTATGCTAATTTGATCAATCCAGTCACTCTGTGTTCTCCAGACTGGAGTGGGAATTGATCCGACATGACTCAGATGCACAAGCACTAACCACTGAGCAACACTGATGGACACATCTGCATTTTTTCTGGAGCATTTAATGAGTGGGACACATGTTGCCACAACACCATTACACTCCAGCCCAATGATACTCTCTAATGTAGTCGGGTGATGAAAGGTTTCACATAAACCAAAACAGAAGATC